TACACTTTTAGGCACTTTTCTTTGAGCTTGGTGGAGTAAAGATTTTATCTGAGGTAATTTGGAATACCTACATTGTAGTACTAAATTTAAATCATTTTAATCTCACTCTAGGACAAGAGATGTATGTAAATTGTATTAAACAGTGAAACTCAATGTTATCTGGATTTTCTCATTTTWAACAGAGGCTACTGCTACTAACAGAGAGTTATCTTGAAAATGGAGAGGAGCAATTTACTGTTGATATTTTAAAAGAGATGACAAGTAAGAATGAAATATATGATTTTATCATATAATTATATCTAGTAGGTAATTCCTATCTCCATTTCGTAAAGTTGATATTTTCAGCAGTGAAAATGACACATTTGAGGAGTATAAAAAAAGTACTTTATGGCATAATTTGCTTTCATAGTGTAATAATATGATTAACAGAATATTACATGGTCGCTTGGAGATACGAATTTTTTCCCTGCGCTCATTCGTGAGAGATCCTTTCAACACTCAAAGATATAATCCGTATCTCTGCGCACCCATGTAATATCCTCTATTTATGAACTTCATGTTATTAAAAACAGTGTTATTAATAGTCCATAAACAATAGGCAATAGCAAACTAGAAAATAATATTTATTCCAAGACCCTAACTTATTAAACTAATAATAAAATAATATTGTGTGTATTTTCTCTGCATTAGATATTTGTCAAAAGCTTTGTTSTGATGTCAAACAAAGGGAGTGGATGGTGGCATGTGGCACTCACAAGGTAAGATATTTAATATTTTGACAAATTTATGGACTGAATAGTTTCTCATGGTATCTCATCCACAAGACAAAGTCTTGGTAAATAAGAAGACATACCACTAGAAACTATTAAATAAATTTGTAAACTTCTTAACAGAAAAAATATATTCAACATTTAGGTAACAATTCCAGAAAAAAAAGAGCAATCTTGTAACTGTCAGTGGTATATACTTATATCTACCATGACTCTTGGCCAATCAGAACAAACCACAGTTTTCTTCAATATTCATTTGATATTTAACAATTATTCGCCGAAGGCGAAGTGATTATCAATGAATATTTACCGAGCGGCGATTCCGCGAGCTGCGAGGTAAATATTCATTGATAATCACTGAGCCTGAGGTGAATAATTGTTTTAGTATAATTTCATAAGTGAATATTCATAAAAATAGAGAAAAAAGAACTACTGCATTTTCTCGTAAAATGTTATGTGGCAGGGATTGAAAATGGCGGTCGAGGGCCGCTCGGATTGGCAGCAAAGTCGTCTTTTTGTAATAATTGCCATTTTTCTTCCTTATGTGCACGTAAAACTTTGATAGACACTTGTTTAATTCACTTGTATCCATGTCTTCAAAGCTGACAGTAAATTCAGACTGTTGTTGAAACCATTCTGTCAAAAAATGTATCGAGTAAAATGTAAAAAAACCAGGCGAAAACCTACAAATTTCAGCCTGTTTGACGTAAAACGATAGATAAAAAAGTAGTTTTAGACAATGTTTTTATTATTAAATAAACAAAACTTACCTGTAAAAAGGTTTRATCCAATTTTTTTTAATCCAATTGTTTAATCCAACGACTCGCGGACAACGCCATTTTGCGAAAAAATCCAATATTCACCCTATAGGTGAACATCGCTCATTGAAGCGTCAAATTCGACCAATCAGTGCGCTAGAATTATGATATTCACTTATGAAATTATACTAAAATGCTATATATACTAAGTAAACTTTTAAGAAATTATTAGTGCCAATCAGTGATGATTAGAGAAGCATAGCTGCAAAGTCTAACTTTTGCAAAATCAATGGTGTATGCAGGAACTATCCATCATTTGAATACAGAACTGACACAAGTTAGCATGAACAATTCCTTTTTGATAAATGTTTGACTGTTTTGAAGCAATATGTTTTGTATGTTCTAGGCCTTGTTACTTTTGCTGTCAGCTAACGATGTCATGGTATTACACTGTTCTTTGTATGCTTTGATTGGATTGGCTCAAAGGTAAAAAGAAATTRTTTGTTTGAACTGTTTTATCTTGCAAGGGAAGTAAATAAAAATTTTAAAAAATCTTCAGAACTAGACATTGAAATCACTCTATACCTGAACTAGCATGAAAACCTTGTCAGTGCAGTATGTGTGATGACTTTGCTTTCCGAGATCCATGTCAGCAAGCATCTTATGAAGTCATGCAAAGTTTTGAAAATGGAAAGAAGAAAAAAAAGTTACACTGATACATGTCTCAAAAACGTGGCATTTGATTTAATGTGTGTCTATTAAATGAACTGTCAGTATGTTTTGGTCTTGTGTCCTGTTTGAGAAAGACTGCTGCAGTGAGTATTATTGCAGGTGCAAGAAGCACTCAAGTTACATTAAAAAAATATTGTTTGCATTTACAGTGAAAGGCCTTGTGCTCTTATTGCTGAACTAAATTGTACAGAGACTCTGCTAAGAATTCTGCAAGACTATGATGTTTTGTCAAAAACGTAAGTTCTTCCTATTTTATTCCTATTGGTTTTTAATTTATACTTAGACTGCTGGTACTCACACTTTCACAATGAATACTTTGTGACGTTAGTCTTATCCTCAGTACAAATTAGCGACCTTTAGATTTGAGAATGAAGACGAGAACGACGACGAAGTTTCGAAAATTCGCCGTTACACATAACGGCAGCTTATGAAATGTCACGCAACTTCGTTGTCTCCTTGTAAGACAAAGTTTTTACCAAACTTTGTTCTGTTCAAAAYGAAGTTTTTATCAGCTTTCTTGGACTTATTTTGCGCTGAAAATCTGAAGAAAATACATCAACTTCAGACATCCCTTGTTTTACTTTGAGCAATAAGTACAATGTATGCGAAAATATCCTTAGTTTGTGCTAAAAGTGGCATAAATTAAACCATGTCAAATTAGTTTTCCAGAGTGAATTAGGAATCTCTTTTGAATATGCGYGAGCGAGCTGACGACATCAAAGTTGTGSACRCTCACCAACTTCSTCCTCGTCCTCGACTTCGTTCTCAAATCTAAAGGTCTCTAATACSAGCAAAAACACCATGAAAGCTCATTTTAAGTGAGAATATAAATTCTTACTCTACATGAGGTCAGCTTGCCACAAAAATTTAAACAATATTAAAATGACTTTCTTTTTGGTGATGTTTTACAAGGTTGTCAGCTAATCTTCTGAGGATACTGTGTTCTGACAGTAATATACGTGAGCAAGTGAAAGTTTTCGAAGGAATTCCMATATGCCTCAGGTATGTCATGTACAATCATGAAAAATTACACACATTTAATCATTTTTATAATATCGGAATACTTATTTTTTTCATTATTTTTTCCTTCAAGTTTGCTTCATGAGGAGAACCTAAAATTATTGTGGAATGTGGTAAGATAATATTATTAAACCCGATTAATGATAAGACTAAAGAATCATGAATTGTAACTGCAAAATTTAATGCAATGGTGCAGTGATGTTAGAATCTTTTGATATATATGCATTTATGGGAGGGTACTTGATGTTCTGAAGCATGAGCCTATGCAATATATAGGATGTAATACTGTGACTTTTAGCATTATTGAGTATACCTGCTGCAATTATGATATGATTGTTTGGACAATATTGATTTGTAAAAGATTCTTGAACCAAAAGACACTAAAGCCATCAAAATATGTTTGAACATAAATTTGGCCTAAGGCTTGCACCTCAAGCATTTCTCTTCTAGTTTTAGCCAAACAGCTAGTAGAGCAGCTATAATCTGAAAGCAAGAGAAGAGCTAATTTATCAAACCAGTTTTTCTTATTATTGATATGCCATATCTTGTAGGTTTGGATAATAGTTCAGCTTGCTGAAGATCCTGACTCCAGTAATGATATAAGACTGCTTGGTGGCATTCCTATTCTTCTAGGATTACTGAAGTAAGTTTTTTACAAAATGCATTTGAATTTCCAATTTCCATAATAGGTCTTTTTTTCATTTCTAATAGAATTTGTCAGTGAGTTGATGTTTTTTGCACAATRTTTAGAAATTTCTGTTTTTCTTCTAGTGATCGTAAGGTCGTGTCTGAAAATGGTCATGTACAAATTGATATGCCAAGATCATCTGCTAGTGAAGTAAGTTGGAAATACAGTGAGGTCGAGGGAAAAAATCAGATTAGAAAACTCCTTTAACTTGTCACATCACTATGAATCTTGTCTTGCCTAAACACTGGTAACTGGTACAGCAAGAAATGAGCTACATAAATGAGCTATACAAATTAAGAAATGCTAACATTGAACTTGAACAGCAACTATGTTTGTGAACAAGGCACGATGGTTGTCTTGAAGATAAAATCCGTACATATCTCCATATGCACCCAGCTAATATCCTCAATGTATGAAATCATCAGATAATACTATATTAATATGCTCATGACATATAAATTTACCTTCCAGAATGATACTGATCCATTAGAAGATCAACTTCTCCTCAAATGTGGTAAGTAGAGCTCAAGACCTTCCTTCTTAATCCAGAGGTTGGTTGTATGAAGAATGGATAAAGTTATCTACTCCTTACTAGATTTTGTATGGGATTTTATCGGCTGGATAGGGATTTATACAGTGGATAGACCTATTTACCCTTTGTACAACCAGCACCTGGATTCCCAGTATTGATCTGTTGGGTTATGGTTCAAAAATAAAAAAAAGCAATTTTCGTAATAATACAGTATTTGTTTGCTTCAGACACAGGTATCAAAAATCAGGGAAAAATTTTCAGGGATGAAGAATAGTTAATATTTGTCAGTATTTTTATTAGAGGAGAATGAGAATAAAGGATTGGACATGTTTTGCTCACTCACTCACTCGCTCACTTTCCAGTAAACCTTACATTGTTTTTGTTTTAGCTGTATGTGCAGCATTAACTGAGCTGGTTCTCAATGATACCAATGGACAGCAGATTGTCCAGGCAAATGGTGTCTAYCTGCTGGGTGTRTTAATATTACCACATGAAACCAGTACTGCTGAAGAGGCCGTGTCTGTTGAAAACCTACAGGTAGTGCTTACTTGTTTCTTRATAACTTTTTTTTATACAAAATACTAATTGATGTTATCCTGTTTCCTTTTCAGAAAAGTGCGTTTCGAGCCTTAAGGTAAGTGGTCGGTATATAGTGAGGTGTGGATACTGTTATAGAGCATGTTCACATTACAGTCAGTCAACTCTCGSTATTRCGGGCACCCTCGGGACCGTAATTTAGTGTCCGMAGTAGCGAGAGTCCGTAATAATGKCATTTCTTTGATTTTTTGCCGGGGATTCATTATTTCCCRTCCGTAATATCGAGGTGTCCGTAATAGCGGAGTGTCTGTAAGGCGAGCGTTGACTGTAGACAAAAKTAGATAGTTATAAGATATTCATTCAGTCATTCCTTTAAATTTTATTGAATAGTTGAAACCTGCGGGTGTTTTATATTCAATTATTCCATTTTACGTGCTAGTAAAAATTCTGTAAGTACTACAGATCAATAATTCTGTATGCAGTCATTTTTAGGAAAATAAATGTTTTTTATATTTTATTTCTAAAACGAATCGTTGCAAAAAAAAATGGATTTCTTGTAGCGTATGCTTTTGTACAATTCAACAAAATTACTTACGTAAACAATTTCTTTTCAGATTTCTTTTCAGTATGGAAAGGAATCGCCAGCTCTTCAAACGGTGAGATTTTAGAGCTGTACATATTGTACCATTAAGGATGGTTTTACTGAGTTCTAAATGTCATTATTTACAGGCTTTTCCCACCAAAAYTGTTTGAAAAATTTATTGATGTGGGACACTACGTGCGAGACTTGAATTCATATAAAAAACTCGTTGAAGACCTCAATGGTTTAGCGGTAAGAACATTGTAATTGTAGGTTTTTTAACAATTTGTTTGGTACTAAAGAATTGGGACTTTTTATCAAAGTTACATTTATGTCAGCAACAAGAGTTTCAGCTCAACTTGTCTTGTGACATTTAGCGATGCTGTGCTTTTTGCATCTTGAGTGAAAATTCGTTTTGCAGTAAAACATGTTTTCTATAACTTTAAGTCTCTTGATGATAATTGATAATAATAAAAGTCTCATGATAATAATGAATAAATGTCATCTAGTCAGAAAACCTTTTCCTTAAAAGCACAACATATGCTCTAACATATCTACTGTTTCTCTGAGCTGGATGTTCTCTGTCCTTTCGCTAACAARACCMATATTCTGTTTCCAGGTCGACGATATAACAACTATACGTAACAATATCTTAGCTATTAATCAAAACAAAGCACCAACTCAAGTGATTAGTTCCTATGAAGTACTAGAGCTCTTGGGTACTGGAGCTTTTGGTAGTGTTTATAAGGTATACATCACGCTCTGTTAGTTCTTATGATAAGAAGTATTAAACAAAATTCTAGAAGAATAAGGTTCCTATACTAATGGGAAGCAAAATCTACTTCAAGTAGTACTGAGTTTTTTTTCTTCACAGATTTGATATGATCAGCAGAATATATAACTATGATATTATTTCATCAGCTGTTTATCTGTTCTACTCAATTGTATTTAGGTTAGGAAAAAACCTGGAGGACAATCACTGCTTGCTATGAAAGAGGTAATTGTCTTCTTTGATGATTTTTCATAATATAGTGATGATGATGATGATGATGATGATGATGATGACGACGACGACGACGATGATTTTTTACAGGGTAGATTCCAGTTGAGGAGAAAAGGCATGGACATTAAATGTCCCTTTTTTTCTTACTTTCAGATTTCAATTCACAACCCTGCACTTGGTAAAACAGCTAAAGAACGAGGCCAAAGCATTGGAGAGATAGTAAATGAAACAACGATAATGAAGGAACAGGTAATGGATGCTGCAGAATGCATTCAGCAATCACTGCCTAAATCGAAATTCAATCATACAAAAATCAATTCTTTCCAAAAAGTCATCTAGCTCGAACAATGAATCCGGCATTTTTAAAATCATTCTATTGATCAATCAGTCTCAATCGAACAACYAGAGTTAGTGCACCATATCTCATGTAAGCGTGTCCTGGGTGCTTAAGTTACTTGTCCCGTGAGGTAGAGGGGTAGTGCCGTTTTATTCAATCATTCATTCCACTGTTCACTTACCATTAAAATCGTCATTATATTTMCAGCTTCGACATCCAAACATCGTTCGCTATCATAAAGCCTTTGAAGAAAGTGAGTAACGTCCACTGAAACCTTCACCCCATTCATTACCCTTGTGTAATAAACTCCTGGTGTTCCGCTTATTGGCTTGCCTCGTTATGGAACCAGGAATTTAACTTTAAATTCTATTGATGAAAACAAAATGAATGTTTTTAATGAATAAAAAGCTAACGTGGTATGATCGATATGGGAGAAAATCAAAATAAAATGAAATTATTAAAAATCGCAACGTATTATCAATCACATTGAAGTTAACAACYGCAATTTAAGGAGTTTAGTTATAARMKATGWTCATTTTTYATATTTTTATTTTTCAGAGGAGAAACTCTACGTYATAATGGAACTCATAGAGGGTGCGCCCATTGGTGAACATTTCAACTCGTTGATCGAGAAGAGATCGAGTTTCACTGAAGATCGAATATGGCATATTTTTATCCAGGTATACAGAAAATGCTTTCTATCGCTTTTCTAAAAAAAACAATAATTAGTTTGCATCATTGTGTAACGAGGTGCCGTGTACGCGCGTTATATACTCAGTATCAAGTAGAGACTGGAATGTTTGAATGTGTCATGTATCGGTATTTACTGCGTTTTGTCAGCTCCAGTCTCGACTTGAACCTATTGCTTCGTGATCATTCATGAAAATGTGGAAGAGATGTTTTAGAGTTTCTGATATAGTTAGCCATCAATGCTCACATATCTTTGTTTCGTTTTGTTTGTTTCAGATTGTATTAGGACTGCGGTACCTTCATAAGGAAAAGCGAATAGTCCATCGAGATTTAACCCCTAATAACATCATGCTTGGCGAGAATGACAAAGTGACTATTAGTAAGTGTAATTTCTTTAGCTATCAGATAACGCGCTGTTGGCGTTAACAGTTTTTGAAACACTTTAAAATTCTTGAAAGTCGAAGTACCATTGCTGAATTATCATTTCCAAAAGTAAGACCCGTTTTAAAAAGATGAAAAAATGTGGATAATGGGATGATGTTGAACAGGAACTAAAGATTATTTTAGTCGGGATCTCAAAGGAGGCCAAGTATTATAGAATAGCCGAGTTTAGACATTTTGGCTCAGTGACCATGCACAAAAGAATTGCAGACGAGGCTCCGGGGAAATAAAGAATAAAACGATATTATACGCTCTTTGATTGGTCATTTTGAAGCGTGCACTTCAAAATAACTCTTTGCAATATTAAAAAAAATAAAATTATCAGTGGATAATCTTGATTTATTCTTTATTTCCCCGGAGCCTCGTCTGCAATTCTTTTGTGCATGGTCACTGAACCAAAATATCTAAACTCGGCTATTGTATCTTACTCATCATATGTTAACAACTTACCTGATTAAATCATTTACAGCTGATTTTGGCCTTGCCAAGCAGAAGAATCCCGATGCCAGTAAGATGACTTCAGTCGTTGGTACGATTCTATATTCGTGGTAAGTTTACAATCTATAAAGATCTGGCTTTGTGTGTCGACGAAGTTTTTTTTTTCCGGTCATTTACCATTTTACGCAACTGAACCGCTTTTCTTCAGGAAACCTACTGGTGTATCTAGGATTATAAAATGTCTTCGTTTTTGCCGGTCCTTGTTACTATATGTGCTTATATAGTGCATCAATATCTCCATATAGTACCAGAACAAAAAGGCTATTCCATTTTCAAAAGAACCATGACACTCCATGACACTCTATTGTCTTGGCTATCTGTTGTTGTGGTTATTGTGTTTGTTTTTGTTGTGGTGGTGGTGGTTGTGGTTGTTGTGGTCGTTGTTGTTGTTGTTGTTGTGGTCGTTGTTGTTGTTATTGTGGTTGTTGTCGTTGTTGTTGTTGTTGTTGTCGTTGTTGTACCAGCCTCTCATTATCACTATTCGTACTAAATACAGTCTTTTACTTGTGTTCACTCTCTAGTCCAGAGGTGGTACAGAATCAACCGTACGGTGAAAAAGCAGACGTATGGGCAGCAGGGTGTATACTCTATCAAATGTGCACCTTAAAACCACCGTTCTTCTCATCCAATATGCTGGCATTAGCAACCAAGGTACGGCTCCTGAATGGACTTTATTGTTCTACTTTAAACTAGGTATTGGTATACATCATTGGTTATTGGTTCTTTTTGCAGATCGTTGAGGCTCAATATGACCCTATTSCTCCAGGACWSTATTCGGACAAAGTGTTAGAAACGGTGAAAAGGTGAGTTGCGAAATCAGTATATTTTCATAAGATATCTTTTAGTATTTCTTGGTTCGTTTTCTTTTGGCTTAACTTCATTTGGATTCGGTCTAAAAATTTTTGTTTGTTTGCTTGTGCTTTGTTTTTCATCTGGTTTAGTTTCTTTAAGATTCGTTTACTCTAATTTCCTTTTGTTTTACTATTTTCCCTCTTAATTTTGTTACGTTTGAATTCGTTTTGCTATGTTATTCTACGTTTTCTTGTTCTTGTTTCTTTTTATTTTCATGTTGAAGTTTTTTGCCATTTTTATTATTTTTGTTTCATATTAGTGCTTATTTTTGCGTTTGTTCAACTTAGGTGCTTGACGGCGAATCAAAGTGATAGACCAGACATTGTGCAGGTAAGGAAKCATTTTGGAATTGAAGAAGTTTGGTTCACCCTAAGAAGTGGTCTAGGTTCACTTTTGTATCCTGCGTGCAGCCGAACCAAAGCTACAACAGTTTTGGTTCGGCTGTACGCTGGGCAAACATTTGTAGTAAGGTTGTAGTAAGGATAATCCTTGTTATTTTTACCATTCSAAGTAACAGTGATTACTTTGTGATATTTAGGTTGCTGCCATCATTAGCGACATGACTCTACTTTACATCGACAAACTAAGGGCCAATGAAATAAGTTTGGAACGAAAATTGGAACGAGAACGAAAACGAACGCAGAGGTGGGTGAAGTCACTTCCCAAAATTCAGTATCCCATTTATTATTTTATTAATTATCTTGTATATGAAAAACCTGGATTTGACTTCATTCTTCTCTTGTTTCACCAGACATTACATCGAAGCAACACGGAATATGCAGAATTACCATCGTCTATTTTGGGCATCACAGGAGCGCTACGATAAACTTGTCAGCTTGTCAAGTAGTGGAGGCGCTGCAGGGCTAAAGAGCGTCAATAGGGAGTCTGAACAGGATGG